ATTCATCGTGAAATCTTGGCATTTTGGATATCACTGATTCATTAATAACTGGTTGTTAGGGCAACTGAATGACGGCCTTTGGCACGGTCTGAGTATGTTGTATGCATAAGTGAAACAACAAAGACGTTCAGGGTATAAATAGGGAACAGATAACTCGTCACACGAAGTCGAATATGCAGTAATAGTTCTAAACTGTTCATGAAGCACGAATAGTCGGGTATTTGGGTCCTATATGTTGTTCTTGGGCCAGTCTGAGTCCACGAGCAACTTAAACCTGGTCTGAAGGACGCTCCTGTATCCATGGTTCGTCTAGAATCTGTTGTCATGTCGACCGAAATGAGCTGGCTGATGAGCCTTCGAGTTGCTCAGCAACCAAATCATCATACGTAAAAAGAAAACTGGCAGGAAGGAACTAGACCATAGGCCTACTCTTCTCTTACAGATACACGCACCCAGTGGCAGGATGCCACGTGGAAAAGCGTATTTCGATCGGTAGCAGGTGTGGGGGCATAATTACATCCAAACCGCTATTATGGGGTTGTGGGCGGGCCCATAGAGAGAGTTGTGGGGAAAAGGGCAGACAGACCACCCAATTATCACACTTTCTATCACTAATTCCAGAATCTGAATAAGGAAACTCTTTCAAATCCACTTTCGGTAAAAAAAAACCGTTACTTCAAAGGTACGCACCTCAGTTACAACCGCCATAAAGTAATTTGGATTGTTATTTTCTGGCTTATGACACCGTGCAGCCTGCTAAGTTTCGGAGGAACCCTCATACTCTGAAGATGGAAAAAGCAACTTATTTCGAAACTTTGGTAACCAAGTAGCAGACTACATGGTATCGTAACCCGGACGGCTAAAATGAAAGTTTTTTACCACCGAGAAAACCTAAAATCTGAAATGAAAATTTTCACGCTGTTCTCAAGTTGTTATTTTCTTATTTATTTATTTATATACATATATATACACACACACACACATATATATATATATATATAAAGCTTTGCGAGAGTGAGATATATCATTGTCAGTAAGCAACTTCAGGTTACCACAGCAACGAACTGCCTGGCGCCAGTACTTAGCATTAAGGTAATTTATGTAATAGGTCACAAGAGAACAGTTTAATTACGTGTAGGAGCCACTACAGACGGGGTCCGGATTGGTAATTGGATTTACTGAACTCTTACAACTCGTAACTACAAGTAACACACACATCACAAATTACTACAGAACACACTAGGTTTTCTCACTCTGTTAGAGTCTTCACTAGCCATTGCTTGGTAGCGGCTTTAGCGGAGGACGTTTCCCTTCCTCTGGGTTCCCAAACTGTCCCCGGCCTCAGCTACCAGCTTCTCACCGCAACAGCGCATAACAACTGAGTCCCAGTGGTTATCTAACAACTCGATAACTCACCAACCGACAGACTGACTGGCTGACTGACTGACTGACTGACTGACTGACTGACTGCCTGCAGACTCTCCCTCGGCTAACTCTCTCACAGTCACAGTTCACTACCTCCTCTCGCTTATAACAATTCGGCATGGACCACGCAGAAAACACCGCTCCTCTGTTGCAGCGCAATTGTTGCGTAGGTGTCTATTGGTGGAGCCGTTACTTAGAAAGAAATTGTTATTGCAGTTGCTTATTTCGCGATAGTTGCCTAGTAAACGGGTCTACATGTCACAGTATTTTAATGTGAATGTGGGAAGTGTGATACACTGTATGAAAGAAAATGTTTGTCATTATCTGTGCATGCTGTTCGTATGAGATGACGTTAAAAGTCGGCTTCCAGGCACCATTCAATAACAATGGAAGTTCATGTATATGGCGCATCAGATTCATTTCTTTCTCAAGATGGCACGAAACTTTGATGAAGCTGCTAATTTTTTTGTACAGTTAATTGACGAAAGAATACCGAAAGAGATTCTACAGTACGAACCAAAAGGACGTCGAACCCTAAGTGGAGCTTCGAACGGATGAAGTTATTCGAATTGAAACAGGCTTCATTTCCTCTACCAATGACAGGCAACCCGTGGCTCACTGGCCATCACTCTGCGGCCAGAGACTACATTCCACTAACAAAAAGGAAAAATACTAAATTAAAAACAATATTCCGAAAAAAAAATTTAAAGCAATACATGGTATTCAAGCTGAAAATATAAAAATCCCAAAATTAACACCACGGTGTGCTTCAGAGCGAGGAGTCAGAAAATCTACATATAAACTTACATTTAAGGTGTTTAAGACTATTTCTACTATATTAAAATTAATTTTAATTACTTTATTAATATTGATATACTTCTTCCCATTCTTCAATTTTAATACTTTCTTTAAATCCGAGATGGGGGGAATGCCTAATAAGCCCCCTCGTCCGGTGCCCATGTATACTGGGGCACACACTTTGTTGGCAGGTGTTCATAATTAACATCCAATTAATACAATAAGATCACGATGGCGATCATCGCTAATTATAACACCTGTGTCAACAATTATTCATGATTTGTTGTGCGTGAACTTGTCTCATGTGACAGGAGAATAGTTCTCCCTTCGCCATTCTGAAGCGAGCAACCATTTTGACTGTCGAAATGACGGCTTTGATAGACCAGGCTTTTTCGCATTGCCGAGATGTTGGTTTAAACTTAGGTAACTCTTAGCGGCCTCCGTAGTCTAGAGGTAACGTTCCCACCTCATGACTCGTAGTACGCGGGTTCAAATACCCGGCGGAGGTCGTCGAATTTTTAAGGGCGGAAAAATTCAGGGAACAAGTCCTCCGGGAGGGACTTTAAGCCGTGGGTCCCGTGTCGTAGCTTTACGGCACGTAAAAGAACCTCATATCTCCAAAGGAGGTCACTGAGCCAAATTACGGACGTTTCCCGCCCAACAGCAGTCTCTAATACCTCTGGTAGATGGGGGAAGCATTATAGATACCTCTCAGCTAGTAGAGCCGGTCTCGCTGGCTGGGCGCGACTGATGGTAAGCACCAGTACCGGTAGGATATGGAGACTGGTAGAAATCATAGAGGGAAGCACAATGGACCAATACACGTCTAAGTGCATGGGGAAACCCACCCTCTCCAATAACTAACTAACTAGGTAACTCTTCACACTGCCAAATCACTTTCATGTATTCTTTCCAGTTGCGCTTGTTCGTTTGTTTATGCTAGGAGGTGATAAGTGCAATGTTCATAGTGGTAAATGTACAGTACTACTACTATGCCTGAACTGTGCGAGATACAAGAGCAACTGGAAAGAATACATGAAAGTGATTTGGCAGTGTGAAGAGTAGTTGATTGTTAGTAAACGATATTTCAGTTCAGCGGCATTACTGATATGGGACTGAAACTGGATGGGACACATCGGCTTCTGATCTATGCTGATGATGTAAATTTATGGGTATATAACATAAATATCATAGAGACACAGAAGCTCTTGCTAATGCTAGTAATGAAGTTGGTCTAGACGCAAACACGCACAAAACTAAGTATATGTTGCTGTCATCAGAATGCAGGGTAAAATCATAACATGAAAATAGCTAGATCCTTCGAAAAAAATTTCTGAGAAGTATTGGGTCTGTAAAGGGGTCCATTCAGCCTAGTGAGGATCTATTTCAAGGAATACAGGCTCCGGTCTAAAAAACCGATATTAACGGCCGTAAGGATCTGTTGCGCTGACCACGTGACAACTTCTATCCGGAGAAGTTAGCACTAACTTCGCCGACAAGCGGCGGTCGCTCGGTCGGTATAGTTCGTTCGCGGACTAGAGGCCACGGAGTTTTAGATCTTTCGAAAATCTCGCAGTTCAAATATTAGGGAACAACAGTAACAAATCAAAATTTAATTCATGAGGTACCCTTCATGAGGTTAAGATCAGATTAAATTAGGGCAATGCTTGCTATCATTCAGTTCAATACCTACTGGTTTCTTATCTCCTCCCTAAAAACATAAAAACTGAAATACGAGTATAAAAGATAAAGGTAAGAGGCCATGCAAGCCCAATGAGTTGAGAGACGTCGAGGCTCCCGCATTTTCTAGACAATCGGTTCACAGATGGCAGTGAGGTTTACAACCTTACACGCCGGCCAGCCTTTACTCCCAGGAAGATTATATGAAACTATAATTTTGCCTGTATTTTTGTATGGGTGTGAAACTTGTCTCTGACATTACGGGAAGAATACGGGCTGAGTGTGTTTGAGAACAGGGCGGTTAGGAGAGTATTTGGACCAAAGAGGGACGAGAACGTATGAGACTGGAGAAAACTTAATAATGAGACACTTCATAACTTGTACCCTTCTCCAAGTATAATCAGAATGATCATGTCAAGGAGGATGAGGTGGACAGGGCAGAAAAACCCACACACACACACAAACTAAACATCATGCCCTGAGTGGGATTCGAACCCACGATCCCGGTTTCCAAGCTAGCTACGACAGTATATGCCTTAGACCGCTCGGCTACCGTGACCGGCAGTTGATCTATTAGGAACAAATATTGTGGGAGTCTCATCTTTCGCCACGTTAGTTCAGCTTAACAGCTTTTATGATGATGCTAAAGCTATCCAAATGAATTTGTTATTCTATTAACAGTAGCCTACAAAAAGGAAACCGTACAAATGAAAGTTGTTAAAGTTAAATAGGAATTACACACATGATTTATGTAATTGCGAGTACCTCTCCCCACCTCCTTCTCGGTACTACCTCTGTCTTTAAAAGTGCAATACAATCAGTATTACCTACATGTCCTTGCTGACAACAAAGTAAACCATTCGCACCCCCTAAAACACAAAAGGCTAAAAAAAAACAATAATACGTGCATAGTCAGGAAGCCTAACCTCATAATTCACAGGTTTCACTGATCGGCTGAATCAATGATTTGGATGCTGCAACTTACCTCCAGATTTAGGCACAATAGAGCACTGTGGTCGCGGTGCAAGGGCCAAGAAGGCCCACCACTTACACATACATTCATTCATTCATTCATTCATTCATTCATTCATACATACCTCCAGATTTTAGGTTGGCTCCGTCTTCTATCGGTATGACAAGCAAGGGGAACACACCACTGAGACCGATTACTGCTGATCCAATCATGGAGAACAGCCAAGGATTATATTCAGAATTTCGAAGTAATGATATGACTGGAATCCATGCATCCGGTATATAGTCACTTGCGAATGTTTTGTAAACACCCCAAATGTCCCCGTCACTGGTATTGTTTCTTAGGAACTGCGTATCTGCCTCTGACATGGCATCCATTGAGCACATGTTAACCACGCACACGAAATTCGTATTCTATCTCTTCTGAAAACTCCGAGAAGATAACCACCGTAGTTGCACTATGGCGATTCTGTTCAATATTCTGTCTTCTCCAAGCAGACAAGTTAACTTACAACTTACGAAAATAAGAGCTAAAATCCGACAGATGAAATGCTCAGTTTAAATATCTATATCACTTCAAGTGGATTGCATTTAAAGATCGACAGATATCGCCGTAATTCTCTAATCTCTCTTTCCAAAACAAACCACTTGCACTCACGGGTGCAGAGCAGTTTGCTACGATACTGAATGGTTTTCAGTACATGTTTATATACTACTCAACACATTCGATCATGTACACTCGTCCTAAAAATTCCGACCGCATTGATGAACACAAATGCTACGGTGCTGGTTACTTCTAACATGATGGACTAGAATTCCCCAATAATCTCCCAACATATCTAGTTATTTTAGCTTCTTATGTTTCTCACATGTGCACCACGCCATCTTTGAGCTGTATTTGACGTAGACGTCTGATGGAAACTTATTGCAGCGATTGTACAAGCATTGCCGCTAGATGTCGTACCAATGCAGGACATATGGTGTACGCCAGATACGAAAACCTACGAAATATAGCTTGAATATGGCGTAATGATCCTGTTTGAAAGGAAAGTGCGTATTACAGACGTGAATATGAATGTGTTTGCTAAAGAAATAGAATAAGGAACACAATAAAAATAAGTAATAGATGTTCCTTCCAATAAACTTGTATGTGTTACGCGGCAGATGTCTACAAAATATGATTCAATATGAAAAAAAGTTCAGAATTACCAACCGCACGGACGGAAAAATGTTGGACAGCAGAAACGACGATAGGACAGTCTTTCACGTCTTTGAGATGGCACGGGGGAGAAAAAACTTTCCTGCTGGTGGAGATGATGAAAGAATTTGCAACACTCTATTCTTCATACCAGATTTTTAGTACCATTGTCGGTATAGTTGACTGTAGCTGCAGCATGATAGTCTCTGTACCACGGGGATCTTTTTAATGTGCGTTTGGGCTCCCCTACTTGACCTTATTTGATTCAGTAGATCGCCTGTTCCAGCTTGTTATTTGTGTTCACTCTTAAATATATGGTGTGGTTATTTTGAACCGTACATTCACCATCTAAAAATGTATTCTGTAGATTGCAGGTATACTGCTTTTAGAATAATGTTACAACAGAATAGAGATTGTGGGACCAAAGTGATTGCAGATTTTCGGTCACTTAGCCAAAAAAATAAGATCTATATTCAGCAATTAAAAACACGAACATTTGATTTGTCTACGACATGCTTTAAGTTGAACAATGACCCAAAATTATTACTTGTCAGCAGAACAGCATTTAAGTCTTTTTTTAAACATCTTAAGAAATTGTTTCTTGCATTAAAGTTCTTTTTATACCCACATTACATGTTGCTCAGAGATTAAACTTCTGGATTTCACGTCCTTCAGGATTTTGGATTTCAAATACTTCCATTTCCCATACTGCATATCCTACATTAGAATTATGACCTAAAATAATTCGTACAACAAAATGTTCAACAAAACTGTAAGATATTCTTACAGCAGGAAAACTTATCTTAACCATTAAGATGATGATTTGGCTATTCTGACATCCCTCACAATTTATTTTGTAGTGACCATTAAATACACTTCAGGCATACTCCTCTTATAGCATGCCAACTTCCCCTTCAAAGCAGAATATATCATCTGTTTTTGTTTAATGCTAGTGGGGTGGGACTAAGTCCCTTGTACTGCGGCCACCTCTGGCCTATTGTACCAGCCTCAGATGATAGGTGAGGGTGATTGTGGAGCAACTGGTGGAATGAAGATTGGCAGGGGAAATTGAAGTACTCGGAGGAAACCTGCCCAGCGCCACTTTGTCCACCACAAATCCTGCTCGACCAGACCCGGGATCGAACTCGGGCCGCCACGGTGGGAAGCCAGCGACTAACCGCTTGAGCTATGGCGCGGCCCGTTTATATCATCTGTTACTATTAAGGCATCATAATGACCATGTCTAACATACTGCTTCATAAATCAAAGTGTTAAACAAAACTGTACTATTTTTGTACAAAAGTAATCTTTACTGAAATTTTTAAAATTTCACGAATGAGAATTAGAGCCAGTATAGCAACTGGCAATGGCCTGAACAACCGAGAGGTTGGCTTTCAAGTCTCGGTAGAGCCAAGAATTTTCTCTTCTCCACGTGGTCCAAACCAACTGTAGGGCACACCCAGCCTCCTATCCAATGGGTACCAAGGGTTCTTTCCCCAGAGGTAAAGCGGCCAGGGCGTGAAGCTGACCACTCACCTCCAACTACTGCTGAGGTCGAGAAAAGGAGGATCTATACATCCAATCCCCCGTACGTCTTCATGGGGTAGTGCTTAATTAAACACAAGGACTTCACCTTCCTGCAGTCTCTTCAGTGTGCATACCTAGAGATTATGACTTCTTGTCTCAGTTTACTATATTGCCTCATTACCATATGGATGCATACACAGACTTCAAAACATCATACATTTTCAGATTTTCAGGGTAATGAGTGTTAAGACTGTGGTCTTCTGGGTCATGACATCATGTAGTCTTGTAGGTATCTATCAGCATTTAGGAATATCATACTTGCTTCTTCATTACAGCTGAAGTGATTAGAGTGAGGATTTCAGCCACCTTCAGAGCGGTGGGGAGTGGGGTTTCTCTGAATCAGGGGGTAATACCGACATAAAAATGGAACACAATTTCCATATATTGCAATGCAGAATAGTATTTCTTTTTTCACACATTGAAACTACTATTATAATTCTTTTACTGTCCTCTTTTTATTTCTTGAGGCATGGATTGTTCTAGACTACCTCCAGAGCCAGGTAAACAGCTGAAGTAATTGAATATAAAAAAGGTGTCTCATATTTAACAGTATGACTTGTCAGTTTCATCTGGAACTTTGTTATGTTCATTACATAGATAAGGCACTGACTAACAGAGTTCAAAGAGCATGTTGCACCCTATCATATTTCTCATACCAACCATCTAAATCAGACACTAAGAACCAGCGTAACACTGACCTCTCAACTGCAACTGGAGACTTTTTTGCACCCAGATTCAGCAGATAAATTTAACCTGTTTCATCCAGGAACAGAGGATATTAAATCTCCCTGGAATTGCAAGGCAGGGCTGGCATTCAGATTTCTGATATCTCTGTTGTAATAACACTGACAAAATGATGTGCTCAGTAACTGGAGTGTGCCATGCTGTGCTACTCATATTATAATGCAGTGCACAGCAAGTAAAGTTTAATTCAAAGTTTAGAAAATCACTGAAGAGACCGAAGTGAGTATATACATAAAAGAACAGTACATTCATTTTTTTCCTGAACTGAAAACAACTTTATATACAGTAACTACTTATACCTGTTTCTGAATTTGGGCTGTATTTCCAGTTAAAAGATCTAGCAAAGAACTAGTGTTCCAAATTTGTCAGTTTATCTGGGTCTTAAATTGAAAGATAACATAAAAACTTTATGATTCAAACATTCATTATTCTAAAACAAATAATCTGTCTCTGACTAGACACACAGACAGAAAATTTTCCGCAAGCCACATTTTATAACAGCTAGCATGTCCATGCAGAAAAATATGCACTACAAATTCAGAAATACTTTCTGCTGTTCATGGACGTGATTTATGTGTAACACCTTTAGGTTGGTGGATTCACACATACCACCATTTTTGTCTTCAGAACTCAGTTCTCATGGGGCAAATCATATGAAAACTAATTGTATTCCCACACTAAAACAGCCTGCCTTTAGAATTTCACATACACTGGGGGTGTGGGCAGAGAAACAGATGTTTTGACAATTAAATATTTGCATTCTTCAAAACGCTTTGCTCATATGTTTCTGTTTTCATTGTTGTTTCTAATTTTAAATTTTAATTTTGGCACCCATCCACAAAAGTAATTTTATTAATTGTTTCTAATTTTAAAATAGAAAATGTTTCCTAAGTAGGATCACAAAGCATTGTACATGATAAACACAAATTAAACCTACAAAATGCATTGGCATATTTTCATGCCTTATATTAAAATAACCCATGGATGGCATCATAACAAATCTATGCAACAATAAAAGCATTTCACAACAAGTAAATACAGTAAATCTTCTTTGCCCAACAGACATGTCAAGATAGAATGGATTTCTAACATTTCAGAAACTCACTATCTTCACCTTCAGGGATTAACATGGTGAATGGCACCACTGTGACTGTTTTTCATGTAAGTATATTTAGTTCCACAGGACCCAGTGTCATTGTCCAGAAGACCAGTGATGGCTCAGTAGGAAAGTCAGGCACACAGTCATTTTATAACAGTCAGTGTTCACATGATATCAATGTAGAGTACTAAGGTCTCTATGCAACTGTCTCTATTTCATAAAAGGTTCTATTTTACCAGAGCTTTAAAGTCCTCTGCTTTTCGGTTTCAAGTTATGTTTTGTCCAGTTTTCCTCTGAAGGAAAGTCTACAGATGCTGACAAATACATTTCCCTTATTGTTCCTCTTCCTTTTTATTTTCAACATTAAACAGTTGCCACTTTTTGTCCAGGTTGTTTTAGACAGATGCTACTGATATGCAATAACAATTAATTCTACCATATTATACATATTATAAGTTAGTATGTAATTCTGAATAGATTAATATCCTTGTGTTTCAACAACCACTCTTTCTCACTCCGCACCCTAATTGTCAGGTGGAAATATGGAAATAACCTATCCTTGGAAAACTGTTTTATTGGAATGCAAATTTATTAACATTATCAAAAAATATATATTAATTTTCTGTCTTAACATCCAATTACTGCTTATGGTTTTTAGTTTATTCTAAAGCTACCTTTCCTTCCGATATTACTTGAAGTTTAAACCCTTGAGACCTTATTTAAATATCATATTGGGCCACAATTTATGACTGCAAACATCACAGTTCCTTCGCTATTAGGGAAACTTCCAACAGGCTTATAGCAGCATTGCATAGTGAAAATCCTGTACTTCCAGGTCTCAGAGTTCAAGTCTTTGACCTTTGACTGTGTTCAACTACTCACTGACTGTGGTAACAGAACCTCAAAGTATAATATTGCAGATACTAAAGACAATCACTGAGTCCTGCCATGAGCCACTTCAGTCAAGTTCATATTGTTACAACCAGTTCAAGTGGATTGTCCTCCTTTTGGCTGGAAGGGTTTCACATATTGCCATAATCATTTAATTGAATATATTATCTTCTATAAGAATTTCAATTATTTTGTTTCTGT